AACATTGCTCGGGGGTTGCAAATTGCACAAGCTAGTTTGTAAAAAGTCGGTCCAGAATTACACAAATTACAAGTAAAGGTGTGAACATTGTAAACTTGATAAAACTTGATCACCGTCCTTCCCTTAACGGCTTTTTTTGGGTCAAGTTTGTTTCATTTTGAATCGGTTGAAGTTTGGTAAGGAAATGGGGAGGAAAGCATATTATCTTTTCATTTGGAATCTCTCTTTTCTGTTATTTCCATGTGTTTGTTTTTCTTTAGGGTCTCGAATTCATACTCCTTTCTTTATCTTTCACTCTCTCCCCTGACCATTTCTTCCTACAATCAACTCAATAAACTAGGATGGAAAAGACAGGGATAAAGAAATAAACATAAGATAGGTAAAGGAGAGAGGACATCTTCTGTAACACGCTTCTTTTGGATAACTTTCATACCACACATACCTGATGGAGAAAGAGATGGAGAAAACCGTGCAAATAGAAAGACATGGAAAGGCTACTGGGATTGTGGGATGGATTCATTTGTATCTCAGAGATTTTATCGCATACCAGGTTAGACCAATCGATGAAGGTAAGGGAAAGGGAAAGGTGTGAAAGAACAAAGAATGATGAAGAAAATCTTCCGCCCAGACATCACGCAGAATACGCCAGATAGCCTGTCCGTGAGACTTGGAGGATATGATGATTGAAGATTCCCTCACTATCCCTTTCCAGCCTGTCTTTCAACCTCTTCCAAATCATTGCCTGTTTCCTCTTGTCCATCCATCCTCATCCTTTATTTGCATTTATGGATGGGCAAGAAGTGACGAAAACATTTGAGGCAGTAATAATTACGGTAGAAAACGTAATATCCTCCCTTTCTTTTCAAAACCCTGTTTTATACAAGCTAACAACATAAAAAGGGCGCGAGACAGTTATGACAAAGCTAAAGATAATTCTGGGTGGTGCTTGCAGAAGCTATCTAATTTATTACGTGCTAATACATGCTTCTAATCTTAAAACCATACTTACATTCCTCGTTCTTTTCTATTTTATTCTTCCCTTGTTGAGATTCATTACGCTATCTTTCTTTGTGAATGCTTTTGGCTGTCCGGTCGTCGCTGGGGCTCACCGAAAAAAAAGAGATTATGAGTAGGTCTTACTCATCTTATTTTGCTTGTGTTTTACTATCTTTTGGACCTTTCATCCTTCCCCTTCTTCTGTTTCCCTTTTCAACCGTTGAAGAATGCCAGAAATCGAGGGGTGAAGGAAGGAGGGAGAAGCTAGCCCCCCCGTTCCTTCTTCTCCAACTGTATCGCTAGTGGGGAGAAGATAGGAAGGAGATCAACCGTTCCATCTTTACCTTTCCCTTCCCCACTACGTTCTGGTGTTCTGTCACTACGAAAGACTCACGATGGAACAGTCTAAAAGTGGGACGAAGGAAGGGGATATTGGCTTTATTTTTGGTTTATTTGTGGAAAAAGAAAGCCACTTTCCACAACCCGCTTCTTTCTGAAAAAACACAGATGGAAGAAGATGACCTTTCCTTTCCCGGCCCAGCCAACGCTTGTCATTTTCCTTGCCTTGTCTTTTACATTGCCATGTTTTGGAAATGAAGAAGTAAAGCGTCTGGCAAGGAGGTAAGCGCCCATCAATACTAATTGAAGATAACGAATTGGATGGGCACTTACCATGTCTTTCTATCACTTCTTTCTTTCCTTTTGATGAAATTGAAGATTGAAAATGGGAAGTGAGAGGCCTCTCTTGACTTCTTCCTCAAGCATAGGCTGCTGTTAATCTTATGCCGTGTGATGCTTGGGAAGAAGAAGCAGAAGAGAAGATAGGAGAGGGTGAGCAGAAGTAACGTGATTCTTTCTTTTCCTCCGATCGCATCCTGAGTTTCCCATGTATGTCACCCACCAACATCTTCAACCCATAAAGATTTGACTACAGAATCCTTAAAACCTTTTTAATAGCAAATGCTAGCGGTCTCTCTCTTTTGCTAATAATCTTCTGGAAATGAAAGGGCAATAATAGAGTTTTAGATCATAGGATGGTGTAAGGACTGGGTTCTTCTCATCGTTGACGTCCTTTCCTTGTCCAAGTCACGGAGGAAGAGAGGTTGGTTTGTGGTCCCAAAAACTTGTATCCTTCCCTTTCTGTCTCTTCCACTTCATCCAGGAAACATTTGTGGATGGACATGTCGTTATTAAGATCATTGCCTTTCGGTTTACCATCCCATTTATTGCTTGAATGTCTATCTTTGTTGTCTTCCATTTACAATATTATCTGAGAAGTATAGAAATGCTTCTGGGTGTGAGGTTGAAAAAATTGGCGATGTAAAGAAAATCACGATGGTTGGAAGAGAAAGTTCATCATTACCAAGAATAGGATCATAGTCTCTCATCTGCTGGTTGCATTCTCATGTACTTGTTCACTTTGCAACCTTTCTACTTGTTCATCTATCTTCCCAATCTCTCTTTCTCTCTCTCGCATTGTAAACGTTGGAGGCATCTGGATGGGGGAAAAAACCCGGGGGGTAATAACAAATATGAAGAAGAGGAACTGGCTAACACTCCTTCTGCTCTCCCGTCTTTCGCGGCTATCAGGATTAGTAAGAATTACGAAAAAGGCCTATGAAGAAACATAATAGATACATAAATAAATAAATCAATAGGCAAATGACAGAACCAAGAACATGAAAGTAATAAAGAATGTTAATAAATGAAACTGTTTATTGGGAGACACATTATTCTTGTCCATCAAGAACCCTCTCCAACACAGTGAAAAACCTAGAGTGGACAATGATGGATATGATAGAAAACGCAATAAGATAATACAACGCAGTAAGCTATGAGATTACAACGATTCTGTAATTATTGCCTTTAAATTCACCCCGTGACCACTTCATCCCATTTACAGAAATATATTGGAGAAGATATTAGTGCATGATGAAGAATAAACACAAATTATAACCATAGATAGTTTGCTTGACTCTGAAGAGGCTGTTGGTCTTTACTCATGGAGTTTATTTAGTTGTATCTTCTTTCTGCGTTTGTTCTATTAGAATTTCCTTGCAAAATCTCTCACTCACTTCCTATTGTATCATTAGACATGTGCAATATTCTTGAGTTTTAGGTGAGAATGAAAAGGGTATTAATAGTTCAAAGTTGCTGGAGAAGGACGGAACACTATTTACGAAAGGCTATTTATTTACTAGAATCTCATGAGTAATGTTAACTAATTTGTATCGATTGGGGTGTGTTTCTCACCTTCTCTTTTTAAGGGGTTTCCTTTTGCCTCCCAAGCTAATACTTGTCAAATCCTACTGAATCAATCTTCATTAGTAAAATCATGTTCATCGCTAGAAGTGACCGAAGGAAGTTAATAGTTTTCTCATCAGAATATTGCCTGTCCAAATAGAGTGATGAATGAAGAGACGCTTAACTGTTATTATTGCTTAAGTGACGTCTCACGGACAGGCTACGTCTCCAGACCCTTTTTTATATCTCTCTGGTTGTTCTTTCCTTTCATGTTTATTTGACCAGCATTTGTTTACTATTTAATTCTTCCTCACTGACATTCGATCTTCTCTAACTCTGTTATCTGTTACTGTGGCTTTAATCATTTGATTAACATTTTCCTCTTTCCATTTCCATGCTCTATCTTGGTGAGCCAGCAAACGTTTAATCTAGAAAAATATGGAAGTGATAGATAGGAGGACATCATTATTTGTTTCTATTAGTACTACTTCACGAAGGTATACCGTGTGCTTTTATCACACTCTCTCACAACCAAAGAGAGGATGTTCATCTGGTCTTCATCACCCCTCACCCTTTTTTCTATTACTACAAACTAGCTGGTTCTTTCAGGGTGGGGCATGCCAAGACATTCCTTTCTACTCTTGGGATTGCACCAAAAGAGTCCATGTGCAACAATGAGCCGTTCTGCTCTTGAAGGCGCGCGGCGGCACATTGTACGTAATCTTCCTGCCACGGTGGGGGGGGGGGGGTAACTTGCTCCAAGCTGGGTCAGAGGACCAAAGGTCAAGTATCGCAGGCGTGGGACAAGATATGTCGCAAAGCCCCAAAAACTAACCAGGAAAGCCGCAAGGACAACAGCAGAATGATGTCGGTAGGTTCTTTGCTGGAAAGGGGCGCTAAATATTCAGAAAGCAGATATCGAATACAGTCCGGCTGGCTGTTCGTCAAGTTGCAAAGGAAGCAGTTGCCAAAGCTGGAGAAGCAGGGTTGTGAATGGCCAAACACTAAAGGGATTGGTCTGGCACCATCCTCTAGATCCACTGCGTGGGAGATCGAGGAGGAATTGCAACTAGGATTGTCAGGGTTTGACGGTAACCCCAGACAAAGACGGCGGCAAAAGAAAAAGTGGACTCGTCCGTGGAGGCGGCGGGACCACCTGACGACCGTCTCGAGGATGAAGAACACAGACAGACACAATCCGTTCCACCCCCAGCTCCAGACATCAACGCGTGGACCTGGTGGTTAGCAAAATGTTCAAGTTAATCCGAACTTGGGTGAGCTCACCTATTCTGGTGAAGACAGATTCGCTGCCAGCGTGGCAAGTTTGACCCGTCCGGTCCGCGGTGAGACTACATTGCCAAGAGAAATCACGGAGTTCGCCTTTTGCCTTCGTTCAATCAAACTGTCAGCGGCCCACATCCAGGAATACCAAGTTCGTGGTTCGCCGCTGAGCCTGGATGCTGCACGACAAGAACGGCAACCTGCTCACAGAACCTGTTCACGCAGTTGCGCAAAACAATAAGGGGAGCGAAAAAAAAACATAAGAAGCTCTACTACATGGAAATTCTGACCGTTTGTCAAGATGGAGGGAGTCCTGCTTACTGCCGCCGCCAAAAAGGAGGGCATCCTGGGAAACATCCAAGGCCGGAGCACTGGGTCTTTCGAAAAGGCATAGCATAGCATTAACCCATAGTCGAACCACCCCGGATAGTGGGATATCAAGTACGGGTATAGCGGGTCACGGCCTTTTGCCGAGCTGCCCCTTCGCCTTCACCGTGGCGTTCCGCGGCGCGCGCATAAGTAGTGCCTGGGGTCTCTTGACGGCGCGAAGCCGGCGAAAGTACAAGTCCCAGTTGTGGCGACAAAGAATCCATTAAAATACCTTGCCAATACCGGTTGAGGATACCGGTTGGGGAAACATCTGGTTGAACGTGGGAATGGGAAACATGGTATGAAGCATACACCGCAGTTGATCCTTGGGAATAGGAAATACAATGGAACTGATCCTGAAGAATTCCGTTCTCAGCTTCAGAAGGGGGTCCCCAAAGAACCCCCTGTTTGACACATAACCATGCGCTGAAACCAAACCCTCCTCTAGGAAATAGCGCCTGGAAATGTCACCCGCCTCATCCGCCTGTCCCAAGACAAAACCCTGCTGGGGACATAGTGCAGGAAACAGCCAACGAGGTGACTCCCCGGGCGCAGAACAAGGCCAGCGCTCTGGAAAGAAAGGCTGCGCAAGGCCCAAACACTTCATCATCTGCTGTAGGTTGAGAAACCCAAAAAATGGTGGCTTCTGCTATTCTATCTACGACACCTAACAGCTCAACAAGGCAAAGGAAGTACCCTCCCAGTGCCACGTCGGCTGCGACAAGGTGAACAAACAAATGTTAATGGCACATGCGCTTTCTGGGAATGCGTGGTGGCCCTTGGCTGGTCGACTCGTTCTATGATTCTGGGGGTTGTTGTCATCGTGGTTTTCCCTGGAACGCATTCAGAAAATAGTAATCCTGGCCAAGTTGATGCGGCCACGGTTTAGAAGCCGACCCATGGTTCCAGGTCTTTCGGACTCGACAGGGGTGCAGAAGAAGCCGGTAAGTATTGACCGCGATAAACAAATTTGGCGGATTTGGAGGGATCTTTTCCGCCCAAGAGTTGCTTGGCTTCCCTCGCAGCGGGTCGTTGCGACTACTGAGCATAAGGGCGCGCTCCCCGAAGCTGGCACTGGGGCCCAGCCTGGTGGCACGCGGAAGGAAGGCAACCTAGCATTTGAAGGGTACCCATGTTGGTACCATGTTGTCCTTCCTTGGGGCCGTCGTTTGGGTTTGAAGGGAAACAACCAAAGGGGCTCGTTTCAAGACAAACCTATGTGACTTTGTGAAGGCTAGCTGTCAGTTCTCCGGACATGCAACTTCACGCGCAGGGCCACGCTTTTGGCGCACTTCTATTCTCCCACCACACGCGCGCGCATCTTTTCTCGCGCGCTTATTCCTTCTCTTGTCATCCGTCTCAGGGAGAGCTAGCTTTCAATTAGTTGCCGTAACACGGAAGTTCCTTCTAAACTTCCTTTGACTATCTAGTCTTACTGCCACTACTACTACCACCACCACCGCCTACTGCTACTATTATTACAATGACGACTACTACGACGACTACTCCTGCTACCACTGCTACTACACCTGCTACTACTACTGCTGCTACTACTTTTGCTACAACTGCTGCCGGTTGGTTTATTTTGTGGCCCTGAACTAACTTGTTTTGACCCCTCCGCCCGAAAGGCTTGTCTGGACGAAGAGATACCCATTTCCACGGCCTTTTGAACCAAACCTTGTTGGCCATGCCAGTTCGTGTTTTTCAGCTCAGACTTGCATTTTGCCGGGGAAGGCGTGTGTTGAAGCGCGTTGTGGCCCCTTGTTTTTTTTTAAATTGTGTTCTGGACGCTGGCTAGTTAGTCCAGAGCCACTAACAGTTTGCCTCTCTTGTTTGGCCAAGTTTTGTTGGTCGTAAAAAACATGTTGAGCATTCTTGCCGCTGTTGCCGCTCAGAAAGTTGACCCGAAGTCGTGGTATGCGTCTGCGATAATGCCACATGGGCGTTTCAAATAGCACCCTTCTGGATGTTTTCGGGAGGACCTCCAAATGAAGTTTCTGTAGGGGTTAAGTGGGACACAGCCACATGAGGGGCTAAAATCAACATGTCCTCTTACAGAGTAGACCATTGTCGGACCATTCTCGGACCATTCTCGGATCACGTTCGCAGCGCGGGCCCATTGGCACGGCAGCGCGAAGGTTTCGCAAGGATTGAATTCCGTGGCAGGCGCAGTACTCTTGCAAGGTGAGGTGCAGATTTCGTGGCAGGCGCTGCACTTTCGCAAGGTCAAGTTTCCCCAAGGATTGAACTGCGTGGCAGGCGCAGCACTTTGGCAAGGTGAGGTACAGATTTCGTGGCAGGCGTAGCACTTTTGCAAGGTCAAGTTTCCCCAAGGGTTGAATTGCGTGGCAGGCGCAGCACTTTCACAAGGTCAGGTGCAGATTTCGTGGCAGGCGCAGCACTTTCGCAAGGTCAAGTATAGAATTCGTGGCAGGTGCAGCACGTTCGCAAGGTCAAGTGCAAAATTCATGGCAGGCGCAGCACTTTCGCAAGGTCAAGTGCAGAATTCGTGGCAGGTGCAGCACTTTCGCAGGGTCAAGTAAAGATTCCGTGGCACGCACAGCACTTTCGCAAGGTCAACTTTTAAGTACGAAAGTAGTACGCGAAGTCAACTTTCGCAGCTGGGGCTCCAAAATCGCAACTTTTAAGTACGAAAGTAGAACGTGAAGTCCACTTTCGCAGCTGGGGTGCGCGAAGTCCACTTTCGCAGCCGGGGCTCGAAAATCGCAACTTTTAAGTACGAAAGTAGTACGCGAAGTCCACTTTCGCAGCTGGGGCTCGAAAATCACAACTTTTAAGTACGAAAGTAGTACGTGAAATCCACTTTCGCAGCTGGGGCTCGAAAATCGCAACTTCTAAGTACGAAAGTAGTACGTGAAGTCCGCTTTCGCAGCTGGGGCTCGAGATTTGCATACACCAGCTCACCTTGGTGCGGGGTTGGATTTCTGAGCGGCCTTTTCAGGCGATGAAGGACCCCTTTGCTCAGAAATTCTGGGGCTCGGTTAGGGGGGATGCAGGACTGCGTTGCTAAGAAACTCAGGGGCTCCGTTTCGGGCGATGTAGGACTCCTGTGCTAAGACATTCAGCAACTTTTAAGTACGAAAGTAGTACGCGAAGTCAACTTTCGGGGATTGAACATCGCAACTTTTAAGCGCAGATATAGATGGATAGATAGATAGATCAATAGACAGATAGAGAGATGGCTAGAGAGATAGATAGAAAGAGATAGAGAAAGAGATAGATAGATAGATAGATAGAGAGATAGGTAGCTATATAGATAGAGAGATAGATAGACAGAGAGATAGATAGATAGATAGATAGATAGATAGAGAGATAGATAGACAGAGAGATAGATAGATAGATAGATAGATAAGCAGATAGACAGATAACACGAGAGATAGATAGATAGGTAGTTAGGTATAGATAGGTAGAGAAAGATAGATAGACAAGCAAACGAAAGAAAGAAAGAAAAGACAAATAGAAAGAAGGAAAGAAGGGAGGAAGGAAGGAAAGAAAAAAAGAAAGGAAGAATGACGGAGAAAAGGAGTGAAGAAAAGAAAGAGAAAGAGAACTATAGTTTCTATATTTTGGAAACTTCCGCCCACCGGCTTTGCCGGCTCTACTGGTAGTAGGAGCAGTAGCCGTAGACGCAGCAGTAGCCGTAGACGCAGCAGTAGCAGTAGCAGTAGTCCAGTAGTAGCAGTAATCGTAGTAGCAGTAGTAGGAAAAGTACAAGCAGGACTGGGAGTGTGAGAGCAGTAGTAGTAGTAAGAGTGGTAGTGGGAGCAGCAGTAGTAGTAGTAGTAGTAGTAGTCCAGTAGTAGCAGTACTTGTGATAGTAGTAGTGATAGTGGTAATGATAAACGTACTGGTACTAGCACAAGTTGCTAGTAGTAGGGTCTGAAAGAAAGGGAAGAGCAAGAGATTGGAGCAGAGAAAGCGAAACAGAAACAAAAAGAGAAAAAAGATAAACAGAGGAGAAGAAGATAAAGAGAACAGAGAGAGAAAAAGAAGAGAAAGAGAAAGAGCAAGAAACAAATAACTACATCGTTTCACCAGAGACTGCAAGCCAAAAACAACACGCGCGGCAAGAGCTCAGCACGACCATGTCTCTACCCACCCGAATACTTTGTTATCCATCGATCCATTTAGATATCTAGCTATCTATCTAGCTCGAAAACTACTTTTGTACTTGACTTTTGCGAAGTTCGACCTGCAGCTGAGAATGCTACTTTTGTACTTAACGCTTGCGATTTTCGAGCTGCAGCTGGAAAAGTGTTAACTTTTGTACGTACTCTTTTCGAGTGTAATCGTACCTTCGATCACGAAAAACTGCGCCTGCCACGAAATCTGTACATGACCTTGCGAAAGCGCTGCGCCTGCCACCAAAATCTGTACCTGACCTTGCGAAAGTGCTGCGCCTGTCCTTGACCTTGCGAAAGTACCGCGTCTGCCACGAAAACTGCACCCAGCCCTGCGAAACTGCTGGAACTGGCACGAAATCTGTGCTTGACCTTGCGAAAGTTCTGCGCCTGCCTCAACATCTATACTTGACCTTGCGAAAATGCCGCACCTGCCATGAAATCTGCAACTGACCTTGCGAAACTGCTGGAACTGGCACGAAATCTATACTTGACCTTGCGAAAATGCTGCGCCTGCCACAACATCTATACTTGACCTTGCGAAAATGCCGCACCTGCCATGAAATCTGCAACTGACCTTGCGAAACTGCTGGAACTGGCACGAAATCTATACTTGACCTTGCGAAAATGCTGCGCCTGCCACAACATCTATACTTGACCTTGCGAAAATGCCGCACCTGCCATGAAATCTGCAATGGAACTGGCACGAAATCTATACTTGACCTTGCGAAAATGCTGCGCCTGCCACGAAATCTGCACTCGACCTTGCGAAAGTGCTGCGCCTGCCACAAAATCTGTACTCGACCATGCGAAAGTGTTGCGCCTGCCACGAAATCTGCACCTGACCTTGCGAAAGTGCTGCGCCTGCCACGAATTCTGCATGCGCTACCTTGCGCGCCCGTCCCAGTGGGAGTTGCGACGCGTCCGTGCCAGCGCTGCGGAAATGGTGCCTGCCACGAAATCTATACTTGGCCTTGCGAAAGTGTTGCGCCTGCCACGAAATCAAATCCTCGGCTCGCCAAAAACCTTGCGAAACCTCCGCGTTGCTGTTACAATGGGCCCCCGTCCGAGACCGTCCCGACACCGTCCGCGGCAGAGGTACCTTTCGCGCATCTTCGGCAGCGACTTCCTGCGCCCTGCCACGTTTTCGCGCATTCTCTATCTTCTCGCGCACTCGGACAAGATGCTGGAATACTGCCCCTGCCACGAAATCTGCACTTTCTAATATATATTTCAAGTCTCTGTCTAATATACTTCAAGTATCTTTCTAATCCTCGGCTATCCTTCAATTAGTTTCCGTACCACGGAAGTTATTTATCGATCTATCTGTCTGGCTATCTGCACATCTGTCGACCCACTCTTTCTACACGTCTGTGTTTCTATGTTTCTTCTGTCCATTTCCTCAAGACTTCTAACTATCCGTCTAGCCAAATTTAGCTTATGAAAGCGCTGCGCCTGCCACGAAATCTGTACCTGACCTTGCGAAAGTGCTACCCCTGCTGCGAAATCTGCACACGCCTTACGAAGGCCCTGCGGTTGCCGCGAAATCTGCGCTAAATGCTGCGCCTGCCACGCAATGCGAGAGCAGTAGCGAAAGTAGCAGTTTTTCGCAGGAAGTTGAGTAAGGAAACTTCTGCAATACAGAAGTTGAAAGCAGCAGAGTCGCGGAAAGAAAGAAGAGAGTAAGCAGAAAGCACGGAAGAGACATACAAAGAAGGAGATGACAGGTAGGACTTGTGGGCGGAGCATATTGCTTTTGGCAAGATTGCGAAGGCTACCTCTGTTCAGCGCGCGGGTTTGCCGCCGTCTGGCTGCGGTCTGGCTGCGGTCTGGCTGCGGTCTGGCTGCGGGCTCGCCGGGGTCTGGAAAGATGCCCAACGGCACGGCCGCGCAAGGTCTCGCTAGGATTGAATTGCGCAGCAGGCGCAGCACTTTGGCAACCTG